AATAAAGCATAAACCCCAGTGCTGTTGAGTAAATTCCAATTCACAGATACCCTTTATCAGGCTTCCAAGGCTGAAAATCTTTCAGGGAGGGAATTTCCCATCTTTCTTCTATGGAGCAGCTGGGAGATTTGAACCTCTGATCTTTCAGTTCATAGGGCATTATATAACACATTATGTCACCACAGCTCCCCAAATAGATGAACACTAAGTTGTTGTAAAAGAAATGTGGACATTATTTTTATAGCTGCCATCTCATTTCTAGAAAGTCAAAAGTCACTTAAATAGTAGTTGTTGACGTCTGTTGAGTGGAGCACGATTCATAGTGACCCTTTGAACAAAAGACCTGAAGCCTTTCTATAACTATTGTCATTTGTTGAAGTTCAGAGAGTTTCCAGAGGCATGTGGTTTAGGAAGTTAATGTTCAAAGTGACACAATAGCACTGAATACCATCACCAAACAGTCTAAGTTCCTGTACATATGTATGATGTATGTACCAGCAGTCAAGAAATTAAGACATGTTGCACTGGGAAAACCAAAGATCTCTCCAAAGTGCTAAAGAGCAATGATGTCAACTTAAAGACTAAGGTGCATGTGATACAAGCCATGGTCTTTCAAATTACTTGCTTTACATCTGAAAGTTAGATGATTAATAAGGATGACAGAAAAAAAAAATCAGTGTCTTTGAGTTGTGGTGCTGGAGTAGAGTACTGGATATCCATGGACAAACAAATATGTCCTGAAGAAAGTGCAACCAGAGTAAAACTTTTGTCTCACGTACTTTTGACGTTAGGTGGAGCAAACTGTTGGAACAAGACATCAAGCTTGGAAAGATGGAAGGCTGGCAAAAGAGAGGTAGACCCTCAACAAGATAGACTGACATGGTGATTTTTTCAATGGGCTCAAGTCTACCAGAGATGATTAGGATGGCACACAACAGGGCAAGGTTCAGATCTCTTATTGTTAAGGTCAATATGAGCCATGGGTGACTCAACAGCACCTATCAACAACCACAGTACGCTAGATATGTGGGATATATCGGCTAAGGTTCAGATCTGTTATCCACAGGCTGGCTAGGAGTCATTGTTGGTTTAATGGTACCTGAAAACAGTAGGCTAGAAGTTATAACTGTTGAGTCAATTCCTACTCAGAGCAACTCTGTGTTACAGAGCAAAACTGTTCCACAGGGTTTAAAAACATGATCTCTGGGTCTTCCTTCTATTGAGGATGGTCATCCTCTTCAACTGAGTGTGCAGCTTCAGGGGCGATGCACACAGATCAGTGAGAGAGGCAAGGGACACTCGCCTAGCCAGTCAGATCAGCCAAATCAACACTGGCGATCGATGAGGTAACAGATGTCACAGCCAGATCACCCTCACATCCTAAAATCATGACTTTTTGGAAGCAGTTCACCAAGTCCGTCTTCCATGGTCCCTCTGGATGTGTTCATACTGCCGATCTTTTCACAGCCAGTGGAGCTCTTATCTGTTTGTAACACAAAGCTGTGTTGTTAAGTGCTGTTAAGTATGACTCATAGCAACCCTATGACCATAAGATCTGAACACTCTTCTATGACTATCATTGTTTCTCTAATGTTCATAGAGTTTCTAAAGTCCTGTTTAAGAAGTGGAAGCCAATCTTGCACCCCACAGAGACTTCAACAAATGAGTATTAGAGAAGATGGTTCAAGTAGTGAGAAGATTGTGGGCTCAAAAACCAAGGAACAGAAGAAAAAAAATCTTGAAACCATTAGAATGGGTTCTATAGTAAAGGAATATTTAAAATGGGTAGGTTGAGGCTGGAGGATAAATAGATCTATATATTAGGGTGAGGGAAGGCACTGCGTATGTTTACATCCACTACAGAAAAGTCAGGGATTTCACTGCTGATATCAGATGGATCCTGGCTGAAAGCAGAAAATACCAGAAGAATGTGTATTTGTGTTTTATTGACCATGTAAAGACATTAAGCTGTGTGGATCATAACAAATTATGGCTAACATTGAAAAGAATGGGAATCCCAAAGCACTTAACTGCGCTTATATAAAATCGACTCCTAGAGCAAGGAATATTGCATGGTTTAAAATCGGGAAGTGTGTGCAGCAGGAACATATGCTTATTTTTCCAAATCTATTTACTCTGGACGTTGAGAAAGTAATTCATGAAACCAGATTCTATGAAGAGGAATGTGGCATCAGGAGAGGAGGAAGGTTCATCAACAACCTGCATTATGCAGATGACACAACTTTGCTTGCTCAAAGTGAGAAGTACTTGAAATGCTTGAAGTACTTGAAGATCAAGGATGATAGCCTTTGGTATAGATTCAATCTCAACATTAAGAGAACAAAGGTCCTTATCATAGGGCCAATAGACAACATCATGATAGATGGAGAAAAGAAGCTGTTAATGATTTCTTCTTGCTCAACCATCAACACCATTGCTACCAGCAGTCAGGAGATCAGGAGGCGCATTCCATTGGGCAAGTTCGCTGTCTGGAACCTCCCTGAAACACGTAAGAGCAATGATGTCTTAATATTTGAAGACTAACGTGTTTGATTCAGGCCATTGTCTTTTCAATCATTTGTTATACAAAGGAGAGCTGGACAATGAGTAAGGATGACAGGAGAAGAAGAGATGCCTTTGAATTGTGGTGTTGGAGAAAAATATTGACTATCCCAATGGACTGCCAAAAGGACAAACAAACAAGTCCTGGAAAAAGTGCAGCCAGCATGCTCCTTGGAGGTAGACGATGAAAGTTTATCTTTCTTACTTTGGGCATGTAGCTAGCAGAGGTTATTGCTTGTAAAGAGTTGTCATGCTTATAAAGATGGAGGGTCAGTGAAAGAAAGGGAGACCCCCAATGAGATGGATTGACATGGTGACTGCAGCAGTGGACTTCAAGGATGTGAGAGATGATGAGGATGGCACCAGACAGGACAGGGTTTAGATCTGTTGTTCATAAGGTTGGTATGAATTGTATTTGACTCAATGGCAACTAACAACAACAACAACAACAGTAAAGATACATGTGACATCTTTCTGTAGATAAAATACTGATGAGTAGCAATATTCAAGTTAGTCACTTGAACGACCAACGTTGGCCACTTGAGTGACACTTGGATGAATTTATGATCCTCCAGCCCAGTGTACATTAAAGAAAGTTACAAGTAATTTCAGAGTAGCCAAGAATAAATATGCTAAGAATTCCTGGAAGGTCTGTCTGTTGGTTTTGATGGGCAGTAAAGAACCAGCAATGGTACCAAATAATAGAGCACTCCTGTGACACGTTTTGTTTCACTAGCACCAATGAAATAAGGGTTTCTCTGGGAGGTCTGAGTGCCTTACAGTCACCTCTATTTCCTCTTGGGAGCTGGAACAGAATCCCTCCCTTTTAAATGGGTGGAATTTTCTTTAGGTAAAATCATTCAATGTCCTTTAAAAATAGCTACAGTCAGAGGGTCATAGTGTTGTTATTCTTTAGAAAAACAAAACAAAATTAAACAACAACAAACCCTAAACAACAAAAAAACCCCACCCCAAGCCCCAGGGCAAAACTTCATGACTAGATAGAACACACCCCCGCCCCCCCAAAAATGTGGCAGAAATAGGAAGAATATTTTCCTGCTTTTTGAGTGAATTTATTTTGATAATTAAAAATAAATCTGTGACTAAGATGGGTCTTTCCAGTTGCACTGTTTCTTTACAAAGAAAACCTGGCATTATGGGGGTCTGGGACTGCAGCAGGGAGGGCAGGGGTACCACACACAGACTCACTGAGAATTTATCTTATTCAAGACAACAGCTGCGAACCACACAGCTGCTCCGTGGCAAACCCCATAAACGCAAGACTGAAATAATGTCTAGCCACAAATGGGCATGTTCCTGTGACACTAGCCTTCTAAATGATTTTATTTAAGATGGTCCTTTTTCTCCCTTGGCTATGAGAATCCTATCACCATGCTTAAAACCAAATCAAACCAAGTAGACAATGGAAACAAATGAAACTGTCAACAATAATTCTAGATCATTTTCTTGTGAAAGAATTTAGCACATTTGTCTCTACAGCACTAATGTTATGACTAGAGGATAAAACACAGTGAACAAGGAACTAAATTTAAGAAATAGTTCTTTAGAGTTTAGGAAAGTTTATTTTCAAATATATTAGATAAGCAAGCAGAGCAACAAAAGAGCTTGTTATTGACACAGTCACAACTACAATATAAAGATTTGTCAGTGCTGTCAAAATTAGAGGATTATTTTGTTACTCAGAGGACAGAAGAAAGCAGAAAAGCAGTTCTTTTTGTATTAGAACACAAACTGATTTATAGTGTAGTGAAAAGAAAAATATACCAAATCATAAATGGAATTTTTATGGTTCAAGGCAAGGGTTCATTGTAATATTAAGCTAGGTTGGGAGTAGTAGAGATTATAGTTAAAAGATCTGAAAGTGCATGATTTATAACATAAGAGTTTTAGGTATTAACCCTACCTCATATCACTGTAATATATTAACATATATGGTTCTAACTTTGAAAGTTTAAAACTATACATTTAAAAAATAATATTTATTTCAAGTAACTATATCATAAGCCATTGAAATGTTGGTTCAAATTGAGATGTTGATTCAAAAGTGATTGTAGATGCCCAAATAGTAACTCTTTTTTTGAGAGTTGAAAGGAAATTTAGAGATCAAGTTGACTGTATCATTTGACCCTGAAGTTTATGGAAGCTGAGAAAAGGAAACAGAAATGTACAAAATAATACCATCAGGAAATCATAGATAAGACTAGAAACTGGGTTTGCTGGTTTCTAATCTCAGGTCCCCCAGCCCTTTTCTCAAAAAATTAGTTTGGACATAAGCAGACTCTTAATCTCAGAATATTGCTGGCTTTCTAGAAGTACTTAAATTTGTGCTCTCAATCAAACTCTCATGAACTGATATTTATTAACTAGTATTTTAAAAGCATTTAAAAACATGAAGGAAGAAAAAGAGAAGTCTGTACCTGCAGTTGTATTTTTGTATCTTTGCTGACGCTTTTTGTTCTCCATCTTCTTGTGACCCGCTTGTCTTTCTTTGAAATATCTACACAGTTAGCCTACATTACACAAATAGTTAAAAGCAACAAAGTATTGTTAAGTTCGCACAGATGATACAAGTACAGACAGAAAGAGCACAGCAAGTTAGTAAAGACAAATGTTAAGACACTTAGAAGCAAACCAGCCAGGAAAGAATGGTGAGTCTATCTACTACATAGTGGCATTCAAAGGAGAAGAACATAATTATAAAATATATTATTCTGATATATAATATAGAAGAAGCATTAGAGAGCATTAACCCTTTTCCCATTATATGAAAGGTTGGTAATAATTCTGAGAGTATCTAAATTATATAATTTGAGTTGTCATTTCACCAGATGGAACACAAAAATGGAATACTGATTCAGATATTTATTCCCTGTAGTTAGTTTATATTTCAATGTAGAACAATTAAAGCCAGTCATATTAAAGCAATGACAGTTGTATAAAAAATGATGAAGAAAAATCTAGAATAGAAATGAGTCTGTATTATAGTTATTTAAACACCACCTTTAATAGTCATAGAAAAACCCAATAAAGATCATAAATTGCTATCTTGAATCCTTCCACCAGGAGCAGTAATATGTTTACCTGCATGTCAGTAAAGTTAGGTGCTGACTGAGTTCTCTGCAGAATTTCCAAATTCTGAAGGAGTTTGCTAAGTTCCACAAGGTTAGATTGGCAGTGTGCAAGGTCTAATAAAAATCAGAAATAAAAAGACATTAGAACTGCACAGCGAGTGGTGGTGGTGAAGGAAATCATTAAAAAGGCATCAATTCAAATCATAGCACATGAAATGAATCCACAGTTTCATGATTGTAGCAAATGAAACAAAGTAGACCTTTTTCTGGTTTAAAATCATATGGTCATTGGTTACTTAAGACAATTTCAAAATCCACTCTTACAAGTTATTAGCTATTACCATCAATTCAAACTCACTGCTGTTGAGTTGGAACCAACTCATAGCTGATCCTCCAATGGGTTTTCGGAGGCTGTAAATCTCACGGGAGGAGTCTACTCACTTTTCTTCTGTGAAGCCACATGTGGATCCAAACCACCTGCACTTGGGTTGGTAGTGCAACTCCTTACCCACCAGAGCTACAACTTTTAGTCTACTGCTGTTGTTTGCTATTGCGTCAGAACCAACCCATAGCTAACCCTTCAGCGGGTTTTGACATATAATAATACATTGCATGGGGGATGAATGCCCTTTCATCAACAGTCGAGTAGCTAGTGGAGTCTAACCTTATGTTTTATTACAGTATAGCTTCTTACCACTAAGTCACCAAAGCTCCCTAGTTATTGCTACAGAGAACCATTAAAAGCTAAAGAAAATTTTATGTGCTCACTTTCTTACTGGAAATTCCCTAAACGCTTGAGAAGCACACTCAAGGGAATTTTAGCAGCCCTAGGTTTATCCTTAGGATCTGATTTATCTGCTCCTATTGGGGAGCAGTGGTGGCCTTCTGGCAAGAAGCTGCACTGCAATCTCGAAGGCACATGATTTGAGGCCTCCAACTGCTCTGCAGGAATGGGCAATCTCCTCTTGTGAGATTAACTGCCTCTGAAAACCCACTGGAGATCGGCTCCAACTCTATGGTACACAACAACAACTGGCTCAGAATAGGGCAGGGTTCAGAGCCATTGTTCACAGGGTTGCTATGTTAGTGTTGCCAAGTCAAGTAGGACTCATAGTGACCCTATGAACAAGAGATCTGAACACCGTTCTACCCTGAGCCAACCTCACAATCCCTGTGACACCTGAGCCCATTGCGTCAGTCAGTCTGCCAATCCATTTGATTGCTATGAGTTGTATTCACTGACACACAACAACGGAAAGGGAGTTCTGGGGGCCTGGTAGTAAGAAGCTGTGGTATGATCCCAAATGCACAGGGTTAGAGCCCACCAACTGCTCCAGAGGAGAAGGATGGATAATCTCCTGCATGATTTACCACCTCTGAAAACCTGCTGAAGGGTCACCTATGGCCAGTACTGACTTGATGGCAAACAACAGAAAGGGAACTTTGGTGTATGGGAAAATCAAGTTCATAATAACAAGGTGGAATGTAGTATTAGATAAACATTCATCTGCAGTTTAGATGATTCGCAACAGTTAATGAATTATTTCTTTGAAATCTACTGGAAACATTACACTAAACCGATGATTCTCAAAGTGTCGTCCTCAATCCAGCAACAACAGCATCCTTGGGAATTTGTAAAAATAAACCACCTCCTGTCAGACCTGCTGATACAGAAACTATGGGGTAGGGCTCAGTGCCTTGTTTTATTAAACTTTCATGCTAAATTTTGTCTTAAATAATTTGGGATCATAGTAACATTATCCTACCACATTTAGGAACAAAATAAAACCCATCCTCTTTCAGTGCATCATTCCATGTTAAATGATGTCAGTATAAACTGAGAGACAGTCAAAGAGGTTTAGAGGTGTCAACAAAATTAAATTCATTTAAAAAATAATACTGGTTTTTTTTATCTTCCGTGAATTATGTGGTTTAAATATCCAACAGAACACTCACACTGGCAGACTTCCAAAAAGTCACTATGCCTAAGTTAACATCTCTGAAGCAATCTTCTCTCACAAAGATCTACAGACATGGAAACCCAGTGGAAAGTCGTCATGATTTGGAACCAAAGGCTGTGGTTTGTTTTTGTTTTATAAAGAATAAATAAAATGAGAAAAATAAAATGATGACAGTGTTTTCACGTGCCATTTCCTCTCACGATTGTATCAGTGTAAAAGGTGCTTGGAAGGTCTATACATGCCCAGAGCCTGTTTGGACTCAGAACACGCTGAGATGGAATGTCACTGAAAGTTTTTTTACTTTAGTATGTTTAGTGGTAATTCTGTGGCTGGAAGAAAGAAAACCTTTAATTCACTCACCTGACCCTGTGTACAGAAGTCACAATATACCAACTTTAGAAATGGAAGAACAGATTGCACAGTGTATCAAAACTATTCTGTTTGAAAGTTTAAAATGAAAAAAAAAATTAAAAAATACTTATTCTCCTAGAGATTTTTAAAGAAAAAAACCTTTTAAAAGATGTGTATTAAAAAAAATGTCACCCTTTTGGAAAAAATTGACTTTTGTATGTGTAGTTAAACATAGGGAAGAATACTGAGTTGTATTACTTCCTCCATTGTTGGACATCTAGAGCATGCCTTCCACATATGGAGTTACTTTTGTTTGTATATCCTTCTGAACACTGTGGGCCCCAAAACCTCTATTGAAATAGAAAGTGTTTTTCTTTTTGTGTCTAATCAGTAAAAATTTCATTTTGGTTATATCTTTTTCATTATTAAGTCTCAAATATCTGAATTATTAATTATCTCATATTGCCAGCAAAACACAGCTGGTAAGAGGGCAAAAGGCTGAGTGAAGTCCACAGATGTAGGTATCTGTGTTTGCGCTTTTGTATGTGTGTAGTTTTTGAGACACTTAAAAGTTTTACTTCTTCATGTTGCTGTATTGTTACTGCGTACTGCAGACTTGGGACTGACTCATAGCCGACCCTCCAGAAGAAGGAAACGGCACAGGAGGAGACTGCCCACTTTTCTCCAATGGAGCAGCTGGTGGATCCCAACTGTGTATCATTGTGTTGGCAGCACTATTTCTTACCAGTAAGCCACCAGACAAAGATTCATACCACTGGGCCAATTGGCAGCACCATATTAGATAGAGAAGAGATTGAGGTTGTTAGCAATTACACCAATTGCTCAGATCCGCAATCAACACTCTCAATACCAGCAGTCAGGAAATCAAAAGACGAATCACATTGGGAAAATCTGCTGTCATGGACCTCTTCAATGCTGAAGAACAACAATGTCAGTCTAGATACAAAGGTGTGCCTAATCCAGGCCATGGTCTTCTCAATTATGAGTAATGCTTCAGAGAGCTGGACATTGATTTAGGATGACCGAAGAATAGATGCCTTTGAGTTGTGGTGCTGGAGTAGAGTCTTGAACATACATACCATGGACTGCCAAGAAAACAAGTAAGTCTGTCTTGGGGAAGGTGAAACCAAGTCTCTCCTTGGAAGACAGGATTTTAAAGCTCTGCCTCACTTACTTTGGGCATGTGGCCAGGAAAGATCAGTCCTTGGAGAAGACATCATGCTCAGAAGGGTGGACGGACAGCACAGGAGAGGGAGAGCCCAAATGAGATGGATTGATACAGTAACTGGGGCGATGTGGGTTAGTGTGTCAGAGTTAGTGAGACTGGCTCAGGACAGGGAAGCGTTCAGAGCTGCTGTACATAAGGTCGCTATGCATCACAGGCGACTCAACCAAAAACATTCTATGACAGATCTGGAAGCAGGTGTAGCATTCACTTTTAAACAACTTGCCTTTGGAAATGATGAGCTTTGATAAATGTCGGTAGTTGTAGAGGGGCTTCAGGACTTTTGTTCATAGGATCGCTATGAGTTGTGCTCAGCTTGAAGGCAATCAACATCAACAAGAAGCTACCAGAGATACTAATTCATAAAGTAGTGGCTAGAAAACAATTTTACTTCATTTTCTGTCAAATAAAGGGCATTATTTTATCCCACTTAGAAAAGAAACACAATACAAAGAAAAAAAACAAAACACAAAAACCAACCCACAAAAAGAGAGTCAGAGATATGCACAATAAAAACAAACAACCCCCCCCCCAAAAAAACCCCAACACCTTAATCAACTAGAAAAGGAAAAGAGAGGGAACTGTGGGGAGGATTTTCTGATAAGGCTCAGAATCACTGGCCTCTCCTGGCAGAGATGCCCAGTGCTCAGGGCCACTGTTGTTCTCTCAAGAAGCTTCTGACCATCATTTTCTGTGGAGTCCTTCACAGAGAAAACCACCCAATGGAAGTACAGGAGAAGTCCAGTACTAACAAGAGTCTAGCAGCTCTCTGACACTTCATCCTAATAAAAATAACACGGTGCCTTCATGTTGGAACTGACTCATAGCTGACTCTCCAGTGGGTTTTCAGAGCTTGTAAGTCACACGGGAGGACACTGTCCACCTGGTGAGCAGGCTGGTGGGTTCATACTGCCTGCTTGTGGGTTGGCAGTTCAGCTCCTTATCCACTAGGCCACTAGAGCTCCCCCAAAATAAAGTAAGGTAGAAATAAGAGAAGGAATTGTGTCTCTTCAAGACATAGATTGCAAATCTTAAGTCCTGGGAGCACAGTGGGATATTTGTAGGGGTGCTAACTCAAAGATCGACAGTTCAAAGTCAGACTTGAATGAACTGGCATTGTGTTGGTTTTACAGTACTTAAAATCCCATTTAGGGAGTTTGGGTGGTGCAGTCCAGAGTGAGCTGTGTTGATAAGCAAAGGCTAAGCTTTGCTGACAGTTCAAATCCATCAGTGGCTTCTCAGGAGAAAGCTGGGAAGCCTCCTGTCATTACAGTATACCACCATGGAGTCCCAATGGAGGGTCACTGAACCAGCTCGATGGCTGAATGAATGATAGCCCCATTTGGGAATGGGTTTTCTTGGTTATGATAATGAAGCAATATTAGCATTTTTCCCCGTAAATTTCTTTTGAGTTTTAGAAGAACAAATAAAGCAAGTAAGGGTAGTCTGGGGGAAGACAGGACATGCCACATGAGATTTTCAAGAAATAAAGAAATGGAAGTTGAAGGGAAAAGGACTTTCCACCAGAGCCAAAAGAGAGAGGAAGCTTTTCCCTA